GGTTTACCAAACTCTGATCAATAGGGTTACAGTTATCAGCAAGGAGGAGACCGTTTAGATGAGACTATAATGTAGGTGCATAGAAAGAAACTCGTGTCATTAAGGTCGGAAAAATAACGGTGAGCGTCGGCAGCAAGGAACTCATTACAGATGAGAAGGGATATACTTATAAGGATGCAACCTGACTAGTGTCGTGCTTTAGATGACGGTTACAGGGCGTTTGGTCAGCAATGCCTAGAGCATTTAGACCGCAGGAGTCTGGGAGAGATCAGGAAGCAGAAGGCACACCTAGAGAAATGTACCAGCTGAAAAGAGAACAACAATTCCCTATATCAACGGTATCTCTGAAATGGCAGCGAGGCTTTTAGTGCCTTTTGGAGTCAAAGTTGCACACTAGCCAACGGAAACCATGCGCAGTATACTTTTCAATGTGAAAGCTAAACTAAGCAAAAAAAGAAGAAGCTGGTGTGATTTATAAGATCTGCTGTCGGAACTGCGACAAGTACTACGTGGGACAGACTGGGAGAACGATTGGCACAAGGCTACACGAACACAGCCTAGCCATACGTCGCCACGATCAGAACTCCCTGATATCAGTGCACATGGATGCTGAGAACCATCAATTCGACATAGAGCATACCAGTATCCTCGGAAGGGCTAAAAGCCGGCAAGCACGTGAGTTCATTGAAGCCTGGCATTCAAAGCAGAACTCGATCAATAAGCACTTGGACATTGAAGTCGCTTACGAGGCACTGCAAACCAGGCCCCTGAAACCGCACAGATTATGTTGCCTAGTCAGGCAACGAAACGCCTGCACAATAATCACTCAGCTCGGAGAACTGCTCAAAATGCGCATCCACACCCTGAGCTGCGCATATTCTCATTTATTTCAAGCAGAAGGCCGTTTTTGGTTGCCGAGCACAACCTTTAAAACAAACGGTGCGTCACTGGTTCTGAATCGCGTGAGAGGTGTAGTTGTACAGATGTGATTCGCTGATTACGTTTTGCAAGTCAGCCTTGAATTGTGCATTGCTTGATGCCAGAAGTTTGAACGCATGCAGGTTGTAGTCCACTAAGCTAAGGGCGTGCTTGTTTTGCCTTGTCAGAACTCGCTCCAACACAGGCACTGAACGAATATCCGTTTCCAAAAGGGACATGGAAGGGCGCTAAACTATTGCTAATACACATAGCCTTACTTCTTAGGTGCTTACGACAGCACAGAGCATCAACAATTCGCCTGGCTGGATCGCTGATATCAACCTAAAATTCTGATCGTAGTATGGCCACACCGTCTTCCCTTCCAGATAGTTCGTTTTGTAGGGAAGCCATGCCCGGTAGGGCAATCTAAGCAAAAGAATTTCAAACTTTAAGCAAAGTTTTGGTGACTATGGTCATGTCACATCGGCCTGGAAACCGTCCGAAGGCAAAGGTTTGCTAGCCCGCTGAGAAGACCTTGTGTATTAGCATGGTGGGTTAGAAGAATGTTTGTGAACGTCCGTCTCCGACAGGAGTCTATGCCGCCCATGTGGGCTCCCTTGCCGGTCGTTCCTTTGTAGCACCGCCAGCTCAGTTCCTTCGACCATGCTGGCTTGTGTGGAGCACGCCAGGCTGACAAAAGAATGAGCACCCTGTTCTTTAACTGCCAATGTTTCTTGACACGGTCCCTGTGCTGAGCTGCATGTTGACGCGTTGTAAAGGTGAACAAATTGCCCAATGCTACCTTGTGAATTCGTGGCTGGGTGCTGTCGCTTTTATACGGATTTCGGATCAGAGTATTTTACGCAGCTTTTGACATTTTGGTCGGATATGCTGCCACCAGGGTGCATTGTAATGCTACGCTCATCCCTCGGGAACACCCTCTTTGAAGTTAAGCGTCACCGGTAACTTTTGTCGTAGTAGCGCTACGTTTTTGAGTGAGAGCACATAAGGAATTAAATGCCGTTCATCCTGTCATATGCTTTAGTTCTTAGCTAGCTTAACTGTGGGAGCACTTGGACACCGTGGGCAAGGATTTTACAGCAGTTTGTTTACGTACGTCATACGGATTTCGTTGGTGTTTCTGACGTTCATTTCAAGGAACATTTGGAACGATTTTTCAGTGAATGCTGTGTTACGGAGGCGAGTGGTTACCAAGAGATCTGCTCCTGCATCATTACTCAGCTTAGAGTTACCTGGTGTAACGGTGGTTTATCGTAGTGTATAGGGTGTGTGCGACGGACGATGGGCACTATACTGGCTGGCTTAGCTCGAACCCCTATTTGTGTACCTAGGGAGTCCCACTGTTTCCCGTCGTTTAGCAGCATACCTTATGGAGTTCACATAGGATTTAGTCCCATTGGAGCATTACAACAGTCAGAATTATGACATTGGCTTGTGTTTTTCTTTTTAGGGGATGTGGTTCTGCCTTCTTTCGTGGGACAACTGTCGGCTTCTCGAGCCCTAGGTTGGTATTGGTTTTCTTAACACAACGTAGTGGACAGCAGACGAGACTACGATACGAGGCGCTTTTGTCAAGATACTGGCGAAACGGACACGTTTGTTGTCAATCCCCTAAAGGTATTCGATGTGGCAGTTGACTCTATTGAAGGGGTAGCGAACGATTTTATGAACAGCTCCTAATATTGGGATGTCGCATTCTGGATCATTGTTCTTATTTTTGTCCTGGGCACATTCATCCTAACTATTTGAGATTGAGCATCGATATTGACCCAATAAGTCGTCCGGTTCCTGTAGGACAGCGCTCACGACGACCGCTTCCTCAACAATATTTGTCAGGCGGTCACTCTTCTGTACCAATAAGGGTCCGCCTCTGAGCAACAGATTAGCTGTACATTCAGAGCAAAACAAATGAAATTCCTCATATTGTGAAGCTTTTCGTGTAGCTTAGACTAAGAGTGAAACACCGAGTGTGGACTATTGTACTAAAGTTAGTGCATCCTATGCTGAAAAACGCAAGTTTACCAGCTTCTGCGCCACGAGCGTGCATTTCTGAAGCTTTAGGTCCAGCTTTCGATGGGCAGGCGTTATGTGCCAGTGCTTACCAAGTTTGCGGATGTGAGTTGTTTAAAGTCGACACTTGGCGGCTAAGTGAAAACACTGTAGATCATTTTCTTGGGGTGGCAGACATAGGTTAGGTTACTGTTCTGAGTGCGTACCCAGGTCTAGTCACAATCGCGTGTCGAGCTCAAGGTCACACATGACGGCGGAGTGACATAGCTAGGCCTGGGCTTCCGCGTCGGTAAGTTGCAAGTACCAGTGCTAAAGTCCTACGGTGGCGTGGCTAACGGATATGCATGGCTTGGTCTATTGCCCGCAGGACGGATTTGCCGGCGCTGAGTACGGTTTGCTG